TGTTGTCATTGCACTCTACTACGCCGACCGGCGTGCCTCACGGCATGGCGACGTCTGCCTCCCGACACACACATACACACACGCACCGACACGCACACTCACACTCACATACACATACACGGGCACCGGCCGGTCGCGCACTGCACTCCTACAACTCTATGAAAATGAGACCCCGAAGGCCACCGAGCAGGCGAGGGCGAGGTCGCGCGGACTCGACGGCCTGGGGAACGTCGCCGTCGGCCACGACGAGGACGGCGGCGGCGACGACGTCAGGCCGGGTGCCGCGCGGCGCGCGCGCGAAAACGTAAACACAGTCGGCTGGGCTCGGCCGGGGCATCGGCTCGTATTCGCGACTTGGAGCAGGGGTAACTGCAGCTTGCAAGGCGGGCGCGCCGTGCTCGGGGCTCAAGCTGCGCCCCGCCCGGCCCCGCGCCGCACCGCACCGCCGAGCCGCATGCATCTCCGCCCGTGCACCAAGGGGAGGGGAGAGGGGGCCGCGAGGGGGGGCCGCGAGGGGGGCCGGTGCGGCCAGGGAGGAGGAGGAGGAGGACGAGGAGGCGAAAGAGGAGCGGAGAAGAACGTCGGGGAAGAAGAGAGAGGGGCGTCGGTGCCGATGTTCTTCTTCTCGTCCCTTTCTCTCTGTCACTCCGCGGTCTGCGCCACAGCGAGAGAGAGAGAGAGAGAGAGAGAGAGAGAGAGAGAGAGAGAGACAAAAAGAGAGAGAGAAAGAGAGGGGCGATTGCTTTATTCCCTGCTACGCTTACATGCATGTTCCTTCCAATGCAGAGTTTTGCTATTCGCGATGCGTCGTTTTTTCTTAATGTTTCCTTCTTGTCTCCCTGAGGTTGCCGTTCGTTCGCCCCCCTTCCCCTTCCCCCTTTTCCCTCCTCGTCGGCCCCCAAGCAGCGCGCCCGCTCTGCTAAGGCGGCGGCCCGTTGTCGACTTTCCACATAAATCGTTTGGCGAGGGCGAAGCAAAAGGGCACTCCATGCTGAATTTTAGCCGTAACCACTCATCAAAATTTTATCGGCGGAAGGCCATCTGACGTCGTATGTGCGTAATGCCAGCCGGACACCACACGGCCGCCGCCGCCTCAGATGGATCTATCCGTTCGACCGCATTGTCACTTACATACGACGCCCATCGCGATACGCCGGAGCCTCGCATGCATCTTTTTATTTTTACTTAAAAAAATACATATTTACTTTCTAACTAAAATAAGATACATTATTTTTTCGGTGTCAAAATGCATCCGGGTCAAATCTAGCATGTAAACGTAAAATGTGAAAGGAAATGTTTTTCAAGCTCGCTACCCTGTGCACACTACCAGTCCCTCCGACCGCGGGCGGCAAGGGAAGACCAGGAGGGTGGCGAAGTAGTCGAGGGGTGGAGGAATAAATGAGACGGTTGAGAAAAACCTATCCGTCTTACACTTGTCGCCGGTGCGTGTCTGCGGCACGCAGGGTGTGCTCAAAACACAGTCGAGGCGCTCCTTCGACCACGCGCTACTCAGTTCTACCTGGGAGACCCCTTTCGTCCGGCCCTCGCCTCAGAGACCTCCTTATCAAGGAGTAGAGATGTCCTTTTTCACCTATAAATTTATGATGAATACTGTGCGCTGCGGCGTCCATATGAATGAGAACGGTGGACAAACCGCGCGCACACATGAATGAAAAATAAGTACGCGACAATGGTCTCGTTAGTAAAAGGAAAGCAGAAGCGTCAACAGACGCAGTTTAAAAGGCACAAAAGCGCCCCAAATCGCGGAAACAATAGCTACCACAGAATCGTTTTACGCCTCGCCACAAACACAGAGATGAAAATACTGCCAGTTAGTAGTTGTCCATCGCACCGATTTTTGTTTTCATTCTCTCTCAATTTCCCCCCAACGGTTCCTTTTTTGTTTCGTTTTTGGTCCGGCCGGGGAAAGCGTTGGGGCCTGCCGCAGAATATAGTGAACGGGGGGGATGAACCGGCCGGCCGACTGTCAATATCAAGCAAAAGAGAGCAGAGAGAGCAAGGAGCCCCAAAAAGGACCGCAGAGTAAAAGAGAGAGGCTGCTGGGGTGATTATATCATTCCCCCAGAACAGCCACAGCAGTCCAGTGCTGGTCAACATTACAGGAAAGAGTTTACTGGTGGACGGACACTGTGCATCGTGTTCAGCAGGCCCGCACTACATTTTGAATACACTGAACCGCGTTCAGGTGGGTTGGCGGGTTTCCTAGTCGACGGGCACACACAAGACCGTCCACGCAGCTCCATCTGGTACAGTATAATTAAAATTACGAACGGGGCCTTCAGTGGACCATGGTTGGGTGGATAAAACGTGATGATAGAATTCACCCAGAAAAGCGTGTTATCGTATCATGTGCGATATACTTTGAATCGAGTGCAATGTTCTCGATAGTCTCAATAGTACTCGAGTATTTGGGCTCAAATCAAACCCAATTTGGTCTCAAATCGTTCGCCTTTGTGCTGGAATGATACGCATGTTCTTGTTTCAATGCTAAATTGGGCTTCAATTAAGCGCAAAACTGTGCTTGAGACTTTCAAGCACACACTTTTCTGGGTGTTTTTGTTCAACACTGATAAACTAAGCGTTCAAATGCTCAACGCTTGTGCGTGTACAACTGCAAGTTGAATACTTGCAAGTGTGCAACTCCTCAGTTGAGCTCTTCCTACACAGTGAGCGTTCAATTTAAGGAAGTGTTAAACCGAGGAGTTGCACACTTGCAAGTATTCAACTTGCAGTTGCACACTTGCAAGTGTTGAGCAGCTGAACACTTTAGTTCATCAGTGAAGGCAGTCGAGCAGCAGCACACCGACGAGGCACAAAGGAAAAGGGGTTGACAGAGAAATATCATCAGTGCGGCAGAGAAGGAGAGACATTTTTTATTTTCTGCTGGATCTGACCGCTGACCACTAAAAAGAAAAGCGCCAAACATTACCGATGCAAAAGTCGTGGCATCCGTCGTCCTCGGCCCTTCCTTACGCCCGATAAAAAGACCTGCTTTGAGCGCATTCCCTTCCTTTGCTCTTCCCCTCTCACACTTGCGCCCGCGTACACACAGTTTTATTGGGAATTAACAGGTTTTCGATCATCGCCTCGGCGGCGCGGTCCGCAAGAATATGAACGTTTATCGCCCTTGGCGGGCGGACGACGCTTTTCAGATCGAGTCTCTGTTTGGCTGTCAGCGGCCTGTCATAACGCAGAACGAACGCCTTACAAATGATATTAACTTACTTCCCTTTCGCTTCGCCTCCTTGAGAGGGAGGGAGATAGCATCGTATAAGGAAGAGGCCTGTCCAGGGGCTGGGCCCAGGGCCGCGCGGGCCCCGCACGAAACACGCGCCGCAAGTCGACAAAAGCCCTCCGAGCCGTCTCGGTAGGCACGCCCTGAAGACCGTTAAGTCCCAAGAGCCAAATTCAAATCCGATGAAAACTAACCTCCGCAAAACAAATGTTATTCGTAGCGATGAAATAACAGCAGACTTAGTTTGAATGGTAAGAATGTATTCGGTTAAAATTGGGGTTACCTAAACATTAGTCGGTATAAGGAACAAAATTTGCTTCTAAGAACCCTAAATAACTTGTACTTCATGATTTTCCTTTATTTCAGTCCAAAAAGTATTGATTGCAAATCGCCCCAAAACAGCCGATGAAGCACTTTTGTTTTATTTCCTTGCAAATAGGAAAGTTTTTGGTGTGAAGGAATTTATAGGAAAAGAAGGGAACAATAGCATAAAAATTCAAGACCTCTTTATGAAAGACAGTCAAATCTTAGTAGCACGCATTTGTCTAAGTGCAACTG